CAAACAGGATCTCAAGCTCTTAAAATTCAGGATATCAAGTGCTTACAAATCTAGAGTAATAACTCAGAAAACAATTCAAGACTAATAACCCAGTAGAAAGTAACATAAATAGTTCACAGAAAAACGAAATACAAGGAACTCAATCATAGGAATATGCAAATACAAAAGCCACACTAAGGTGCCGTTTTTCACCTATCACAATATAAGGTTTAAAAGTTATGTAACTTACTGAAGATGTGAAGAAACCTATAGCCTGCTGATCAAAGACTAAATCAGTGAACTCTTATGGAGGCAACTTGGTAATAGTTAACAAAATTTTAATGCTTATCTTTTGACTCTTGAAATCCAATTTTGGGGAAGCTTTCTACAGATATATTTATTCCTGCATGTGGAAGATCATTTATGCCAAGGGTATTTTGACATACTGACAAAAGATGGGAAACAATGGAAATGTCTGCAGTCGATTTTGATACATTATCTTACAGTCATGCAGTGGAATACTTAGTCACAACACAGGTTAAGGAGCTACTGTGTAGGAGTAGGAGAGAGGTTCAAGATGTAGAACATTGGGTTGGCAAACTTCTTCTTAAAGGGCCAGCTAGCAAATATTTAGGCTTTTCTCTGTTGTTGGGAGACAAAGCCATAGACCGTATGTCCATGTGTATGACTGTTGCAATGAGTCTTATTTAGAGAAACAGATGTCTGGTCTGTGGGTCATAGAAGAACTTGGAATATAAATTGTAACAGAGGTATGAAGTGCTGAAAGCACTGGGTAGTGAGTTCAAGCTTTGCCTGGGGTAGTTGGGAAAGACTTCACAGATGAGGTGGGTGATAATTTAAACCGAGTTTCGGGGGGTGTGTAGGAGCTCTGAAGATTGAGGTGAGGAGGAGGTGTTTTCTGGAATTGGTGAGGAGTTGTTGGGTACATGGAGTTCTTTGTTGAGAGTGGCTGAAGAGGTAAACTGGGATCATGTTTTTGAAGGCACTAGATACTGATGAGATTTCTAACCCATTTTCTACTTGGAATAAAAAATATTTCAATGCCTAGCTCTGTTAAACCTTGAAATTTTGCCATATTTACTTCAGGGCTTTGTTTGTTTATGTGTTTTTTTGGTATGTGTTTTTTAAAAGAAACAGAGATGCAGTTGAAACCATGGCCTGCAAACCATGCTGAGTAACTTCTCTTTCCAGAGATGATAGCTAATATGAATTTGTTTTTCTCTAACCTTCTGACATTAACTACACGTTCATATACCTTTATAAACAATACATTTTATTGTTCTTTATATTGTAATAGTTCACAGAATGAACTGTGGTATCATTTCACAAGTGGCTTTTGCTCAAAATTGTGTTCTTACTATTTCTCTGTGAAGCACGCCAGTCAATAGAAATAAAATGGAAGCCGTATATGTTATTTTAAATTTTGTAAGAACCACATAAAAAGTCACAGGTGAAATTAATAATGTACTTTAGTAACCCAGTTTACCTGAAGTGTTATTCCAGCATATAATCAGTTTGTGAGATGATTAATGAGGTATTTTACACTCCTTTTTTATACTGGCTCTTTGAAATCTGGCATCCGTTTCACACTTGCACCTCTCAGCTCGGACAAGCCACATTTTAAGTGTTGAGTGGCCATAGGTGGCTAGTGACCATAGGTGGCCAGTGACCATAGGTGGCCAGTGGCTTTTACCGTATGGCACCGAGAACTGCCACAGTTCAAGCAGGACCGAACACTCCCAGTGCTTGAGGGTCGTGCATGCTCCTGACCTCCAGGGGTCGTGCTGACACGAGAGAGAGTCGTGTGTGTTGGAACTGGCTGATCCCCCCGCCTGCGGCCCGCAAATCGCTCTGTGTACCATCAGGGAAGCCTCTCTCCAGAGGAGCATTTACTGCCCATGATGGCCGGAGCGCAGAGTGCGGCACAGGCACAAGGCGCGGCCTCTAGCCACGCGGGGGCCCCGGGCCTGTCCTTACAGGAGTCCGCGCTTCACTCTTGCTTGTCTGGGGTAAACCGTCAAAACGATCCCTGCTTTTCCTGGGTGTCACATTGGTAGAAAATGCACTGCTTCCCCCCAGGCGGACCTGACTAGCCAGGTAAACCTGCCACCTAACGTTTCTTTGCTCACGACCCCCGCAGCCACGTGTATTATGCCTCCAGTCCTGGTTTTCCAAGCTTCAGTCACGTTTAGTCACCTCACCCTAAAGGTCTGTATGTAGACTTCTATCTAGTTCTCTTCTTTTCTACAGAACTTTCTTCATTGAAATGCCCTGGAGTTGACATGGAGTCCTAGTGGAAACCGCCTTTTAGTATACTTTAGAGTCATACACTTTAAATTAGAGGGGCTTTCCATTATGCAGTTAATATCCCTCCTATAATCACCCGATGAAAACGAGATCTAGCTAAGGACAAAAATTTAGGGAAAAATCCTCTACATGTCACTCATTCATTGCTTGATTTTTTATTATTTTTTCAATTCTTTGGATTTATTTTAATGTGTCTTTTATATGCCCACAGAAATAGATAGTGTATAATAGTAGATCTATCATGACCTCTGCCAACCCTTAATCTGGGTTGATATATAATCTGCATTCCATGGCTTGAAGATAGCCTTTTAATAGTTTCGGACAGCACTTTCTGCCACAAGGTGGGGGTAGAGAGTTCTATGGGCCTTTTTAGGTGGGGAGATTCTGGTCATAAAGTTTAGTTTCACAGTGAACAAAATAATTGTCAGCAATGTTATTAACACAACTGTCCCTTAGGGTTAGCATGATTTATAATTTTTTCATGCTAATATTCAGCTTATTCAGTACTCAGGTCATTAGCCATTCAGAAATGATTAGTGATTATTCTTATAACAGTTTAAATACTCTATAACTTCCACATCATTTACTTTTTGTTGCATTACTTTGGTTTTGTTTTTAAATCTAAGGTGAGAACAGTCACTTGGGGAAAATGGATGTTTTGATTGGGCAGACAGGAACTGAGAGGAAAAAAAAGACGTAATTCTGGGAGAGTAAGGGTTTTGGTGGGTCTGATAGGGAGAGGAAATGAATGAATCAAAGGTGCCTGGGGCTCAGTCAGAAAAGCGTCTGACTCTTGATCTTGTGGTTGTTAGTCCGAGCCCCATGTTGGGGGTACAGATTACTTAAAAGTTAAAAAAAAAAAAAAATTTAATCTGTTAAGTCAATTAAAAATTAAAATGTTGGGGCACCTGGGAGGCTCAGTCGGTTGAGCATCCGAGTCTTGATTTCAGTTTGGGTCATGATCTCAGGACTATGGGATTGAGCTCCACATTAGGCTTCGTGCTGAGTGTGGAGCCTGCTTGGGACCCTCTCTCCCTCCCTCCCTCCCTCCTTCCTTCCCTCTTTCTCTCTCTTCCTCTCCCTCTGCCCTTCTCTCTTGCTTGCACATTCTCTCTCTAAAAACAAAACAAAAAAAGAAAAAAAAGTGTTCACACATAGACATTGTGTGTAATCTGGAACAAGAAGGCATTTTTTTAGTGAAAACTGTTCTCTGGCAACTTGTGTCAGTTGTGCTCCTGTCAAATACTAAACAGTGTCTACTAATCATAACAAGCCTACTTGTCAGAAATCAGTTTTAGCAAATCTTGGTTATGCCTTATTGTACATAAAAGATTAAATAGTGAAACTCGAGACTTGGTTAAGGTTTTTATGCAGATACATATATAATATGTTCAGACTGGATGACCCTAGACAAATTCCCATGTTACTCTATTTGTAGACTGAATTTTCAAAAGCCCCAAAGTCCTGTTTGTTTCTTTTTCATTTCAGAATGGGAAATGCCGAGGTTACCGTATGGGCCACTAGTAAAAAGACCTGTTGCTGTTGGGAGCACACCAAACTTAAAGACCATGTAGTATAAAGATTTAAAAAAGAATAGGAATAGATTTGGAAATTGGAAATTTATTTTTTTATAAAGTTTTTTAATGTTTACTTTTGAGAGGGACTGAGCATGAGCGGCACAGGGGCAGAGAGAAGAGGGAGACACAGAATCCGAAGCAGGCTCTGGGCTCTAAGCCGTCAGCACAGAGCCCGATGCAAAGCTTGAACCCACAGACCGTGAGATCATGACTTGAGCCAAAGTCAGATGCTTACCAGACTGAGCTACCCGGGTGTCCCTGGATTTATGAACTAAATTTGGAGAATGCAGATAATAGTGAAATTCCTTCTTAACTGACGTGATGACAGCTGATTTCTGATTTCTATAACAATATCATTTTCGTTGCCCTAGAGCTCTATTGACTGACTGGTATTCCTGAGAAACTCCCTTGCTTTGCTAAGGCTTTTGAGCCATTTGAAGGTAGGGATGGTGGATGTTAGAATGAAGAGAACTTGTGACTGCAGTGTGATGCTAATAAACAGAGAGCCTGTGGTTTGGTGTGACATACTTGCCATTATCTATGCTCAGTTGGTAGGTAATTCCTCATTTTGCCCTTGAGAATACCTCCCTCCAAATTCTTTTGCCAGCTAAAATATATAGGATCTTACAGATAATACCTAACACATTAAAATCTACACATCTTTTATCTGCTTAGTCATACAACACATTGTATTTGTTAATAGAATTTGGAAATAATGTTTTGTTCTACTGTTTCATGATAAAATAGTTTTGTTCAATCTGTGTGTGTATTGGGATCCCTTCCTTTGATAAATTATCTTCTTAAGATAGTTGTTGTTCAGGTGAAAGCTACTTAGGAATATGAGTATCTTCATAAGTCTTTAGATATAAGGTGACTCCTTTTTGCCTGAAAAATATTTAGAGCATAAAACTCTCATCTGATATCTGAACATGTGATAATTCCTCATACTCTTATTTTTTCATTTATATTTAGAAGTACTTCTCAATTTTAAGAAGTCAGAGTCTTGAGTGAACTTATTGAATATCTAAGTCTTTAGTTAATGTGGATTTTGTCTTTTTTTTTTTTTTTTCTTTCTTTCTTTGAGGGGTTGGACATAATTGCCTTATTTCATTTCAGGGATCCTTCTAAAGTAAATATTCTGGTACCTGGTGCTGGACTAGGAAGACTGGCCTGGGAAATAGCTATGCTAGGTTATGCTTGTCAAGGAAATGAATGGAGTTTTTTTATGCTCTTTTCTTCCAACTTTGTACTCAACAGGTATTTAATTTACTTTTTGCTGGAAATAGTAATTTCTCAGAATCAGATTGACTTACCTATTTTTGAGCAATTCCGAATTTGAAGATAAATAGTGTTTGATTATATGTATCGTAATTGTTATATTAGCATCAAGTTGCTTATACAAAGTACCACTTTTAATCAGTTCCTAATTAACAGAATGTTGAAACAGGATGGATAAGTGACGTTTTAGAAAATGGTGGGATGGCCCATGAAACAAATGCTTCCTGTGCAGAATTTCAAGACTGTATGTATGATCCGGGAAGTAGTGTTTTTTTTTCTCTTCCCTAAACTTCTCCACCTATTGGTTTCTTTAGTGGAATCAGAGTTCAGTGTAGCAGTCGTAACTTTTTCCCTCAATCGGATTCTTATAAAATGGCCAAGTATGCTCATATGACTGAGTTGGAAACATCTCTCAGAATTTCTGTGGCCTCTTTCAGAAAATAGTGGAAAAGGGTTTTTATTTTTAAAGTCAGAAGAGTTGCATTGGGAAAAAAGAACTAGCTGCCTTGTTTAAATTAAATACTATGTTGTCTTGGTGGCAGTATGAGTTAGGGAGTGGTGAGGATGTAAAGAGGAGAGAATTAGAATAGTTGGGTAGCAAACGAAACCCATACCACTTTTCTAAGAAAATAGTTGGACTGTTTTTTAACTTGAGTTTGAAGTTTGGAAATAGATTTTTTAAGATGTGAGTGAACGACACATTTATATTTCTGAATTTACTTTAATTTTTTTTTCCTGTCTTTTAATTCATGATTGGTTGCCCATCTACATGTATATGTGCATTTTCAGATAATTAGGTGGGGTGTAGTGGTAACACTTCTACGTATTAATGAGCTTTATAAGTAACTCTTCAATCAGATTATATTTTCGTGTTTAGAGTGGATTTTCTTGGTGAAATTTTTAGTTAACACTGAATTCTATGCTCCTGTTTTGCAGATGTTCTGAAATTAATAAATACAAGCTTTATCCTTGGATTCATCAGTTTAGCAATAACCGGAGGTCAGCAGATCAGATTCGACCCATCTTTTTCCCTGATGTTGATCCCCACAGTCTTCCCCCTGGTTCCAACTTTTCGATGACAGCCGGAGATTTTCAGGAGATATACTCAGAATGCAGTAAGTGCAAAACAAACATTTAAAAGGTCTTGTCATTTATTCTAAATTTAATGAGCTAATTTTATACTAAGGCAAAGTTTTGGTCATTCATTCTGATAGTAGAATATAAGGTATACTTCAGTGACAATTTAGGATATTCAAAGTCATATATAAGGTAATGATGGGAAATATAAAGGATAGGATTCCACAATTAGGAAATTTGAAATCTGTTGGGTCTATTAATGTAAGATGATGTGTAAACAAATTTTAGTGAGTAGTGAGTACAGTAAAGATAAAAGTAGATGAGTGTGGGAAAGAAGTTCTTTGTAGAGAGAAGGCTGTGACTTCAAGAATAGGGAGACAGAGGTACAAAGGGGTGAATGAATAAGGTAATGAGAGACGGTGACACACTCTGACTAGAAGGGAAAGAGGTTGGTTTGGGAGTTTAATGCGAGATACGGCTAGAAAAGTAGGTTGGTTCCAGACTGTGGAAGACCTTTATAATTAGATTATGAAGTCTGGATGTCACCTGGGCAAACTGTGAAGTTTGAGCTAGCTTTAGAGAAAAGGAGACGATAATGAAGAAAGAGGCGAGGAGGAAGTGGATTGGCAGTGAAAGGAAGAAGAAAAGTAGAATGCTCAGAGGTCAGTAACATCTTTCATTCAACAGATACTTAATTTGAGCACCTGCCAAGTCCTAGGTATGTTCTAGGCATTGGAATGAGAGCAGGGAGCAAAATGAAGCTGCTGTATAGGGGATTTCTATTCTAATAGGGACTGAGAGGCAGCAACATGAACGTTGTGAGGAAGAATACTAAGGCAGGTGACAACGATACAGAGTGGTGGGGACGGGCTGCTGTTCATGGAGTTGTTAGGGAAGGCCTTTCCAAGCAAAACTTAATAAGAATGTTGAGTGGAAAACCTAGAAAAAGTGAAGAGGCAAGCCATTAGATCCGTGGGGGAAATGTTGCAGACGGAAGGGGTGGGGAGGGAAGAAGGATTCAGAGTGGAGAGGGGCGCTTGTTCTGCTTAGGGAGAGCGAGAGGCCACTCTGGCTGGGGTGTAGTGAGCATGGGCACCACACTGGGAGGCTGGGGAGGGTTTGATTATACTCAGGGGGGATGCCACTAGAGGGATTGGAGGAGGGGAGTAATAAGAGAGTCAGGTTTTTGTTTCTTTTTCCCTGAATGCTGACACTGGGAAAACCTGTACTCTGAAGGTGGAAAGAGCGATACGGAAGATGTTGGGTGCTGGGGATGGGTTAGAACGAGGCCTCAAAATAGAGGTGAGATCATGGAAAACATGAGTTAGGCGAGTCCAGGAGACATTGTTCTGCAGCAGGGTTGGGGAGGGCTGATGGTGAAGGTCTTCCTCGGCTGGATGCGTACCTTTATCAGGCCAGCATTCGTACAGAGGCCTGTCTGCACTTCAGCCTCTGTCCCTGTCCTGGGCCGCGGCCTCCAAACACTGCTCTCCAGTGGGTTCCCTTGACCACCTGCCCCCACTTTTCCACCGGCCAGTATCTGGAGCACTGGTGGTATTGATTGAGTATCTGATGTCATTCGTTTCTCACTTGACGACAAGTACCTACGGTCTTTCTGAAACTTGCCACACTTGGTGGTTAACACTGGCTTAAATCACAGTGTAAAATTCAAATAACTACTACTTCATCTTAACTGATTTGAAACGAAGGCTAGGCCCTGAGTAGATTATAAAACTCTTACAAGTACCTTTTGTTAAAGATACTAGTTATATAGGTTATCAAAAATGGTTTCGGAGTTGATTATCAAATTCTTAATAAAAACTTTTATGAATTGCAAAGTATCTCATAAATGATTGTTTGATTACCCTAATTACAGACTTGAGTGGAAGAGTTTAGCTTCTGTATTCCTCCAGTTAAATGAAGTATTCACAGTCTCTTAAGAGCTAGCTGATACATTTATAGAATTAATTAAAAGAAAAGGCAGAATAACATAATTAAATGTAGTAATTTGGTTTTCCTTCACTAGATACCTGGGACTGCATTGCTACCTGTTTCTTCATAGACACAGCTCACAATGTAATTGATTACATTGACACAATATGGAAAATACTCAAGCCAGGTGGAATTTGGATCAATCTAGGTAAGTTCCTCAGTATTTATTAGACTCTCATACATTTATCTGAGTACTTAGAGCTATTCTCTGTTTGGTAATTTGACAGTAACAAATGTCCACAAAGGTTATAGTTAGTTAAGTTGTGCAGCTTCCTGTAGACACTACCCTAGTTAGTAGTGCAGTTCCTCTGAGAGTGGAGGGAACCCTAAAAGTTGTGTCTTCTGCTAGGTCATCCTCACAGTACGAATTATTACTCTGATGATAATCATTGTCCCCACCCTCCCTCCATCACAACAGCAATCTGTCAAGATGGAAGTGTTCTTTTTTCTTTCAGATGTTTTCATTTGAAGAAAGCACTTAACCTCCCCCATAGAAACTTCCTCCGAGGTACATACACATAGTGGGAAAAGAGTAGGTATGGTGATTTTCAGGACTGCCCTGAGTTTAAGAGAGAGTATCATTTCATTTATGCAAAAACCTTTTTACTGCATCCTACTACTAGGTGATGAATATTCCCATCCAGCATCTAGAGGAAGTAACCAGTTTTATCCTCCTCCTTTAAAATAAAGGGAGAATAATAATATCAAGGTAAATATACTTGTCTTTATTAGTGAGATGTATAATCCATGTTAAGAAAGACATAATGGCTAGGGGCACCTGGGGACTCAGTCAGTTAGGCGTCCGACTTTTGATTTCGGCTTAGGTCGTGATTTCAGAGTTTGCGGGATTGAGCTCTGCGCTGACAGTGCGGAGCCTGCTTGGGATTCTCTCTCACTCTGTCTCTCTCTGTCCCTCCCTTGTTCCTGCTCTCTCTCAAAATAAGTAAATAAACTTAAAAAAATAGACATAATGACTAGAATATAAAGATTTTCAAGATGAGGGTTAATATACAACATAAGAGGACAGATACACCTTGTTTGAGTCTGTGGCCTTCAGGTTTGGTCTAGTTTTGTTGTTGGTTCTGTCCTGTGCTCTCTTTTGAATGACCGGACTTGACCACAGATTTTGCCATCAGGACTCAGACTAGAGGCAGTAATAGGTCTTTTGAAACTTCTCTTTAAAATTTCATGGGGCAAATGAGAGTAGTTGTAAAATGTAGCCATTATCTGAAACAATGATCTCAAACCTTAGATCCTCTTTAAAAGTAGTCACTTCTTTAAAGCAGATTTCTTTAAAAATTTCCCAAGGAGTCACTGAAATGTAATACAGTTGACCGTTGAAAAGAGGGATGCTGACCCCTTGTACAATAAAAAATCTACATATAACTTTTGGGGCGCCTGGGTGGCTCAGTCAGTTAAGCGTCTGACTTCGGCTCGGGTCATGATCTCACAGTTCGTGGGTTCGAGCCCTGCGTTGGGCTCTGCTGACAGCTCAGAGCCTGGAGCCTGCTTCAGATTCTGTGTCTCCCCCTCTCTCTGACCCTCCCCTGCTCACGCTCTCTCTCTCTCAGAAATAAATAAAAACATTAAAAAAAATTTGTTTTAAATCTGGATATAACTTTTGAGCTCCCCCAAACTTAACTGCTAATAGCCTGCTGTTGACCAGAATCCTACTGATAATGTAGTTAACACATATTTTGTATATTACATGTTATTATATATTGTATTCTTATAGTAAAGTAGGCTAAAGAAAAGAAAATGTTATTAAGAAAATTATAAGGAAGACGGGGCATGTGGGTGGCTCAGGTGGTTCAGCACCCAACTTCAGCTCAGGTCATTGTCTACCAGTTTGTGCGTTCAAGTCCCGTGTCAGGCTCAGTGCTGATAGTTCAGAGCCTGGAGCCTGCTTTGGATTCTGAGTTTCCCTCACTCTCTTTCTCTCTCTCTAAAAAATTAATAAACATTTATTAGTTAAAAAAATTATAAGGAAGAAAAAATACACTGAGTACATTAAGTCTCACTGACACGTATTTATCAACAAAACAAAATGTGTGTAAGTGGATCTGTGCAGCCCAGACCTTTGTTGTTCAAGGGTCAACTGTATCACCTATTGGGTATTTGCTCACTGGGGGTTAGGTGGTGTGTTAGCCACTTGTAACCTTATTTAATCTGAAAACAACCCTATGTTGAAATGGTATGTCTGCTGTCTTTATCGTTGAAGAAACTGAGTCTTGCTTTAAGTAACTAGCTGTTACTTAAAGGGGGGTCCTGGAGGTCCTGGAGCTTATAACTGCCTGGAACAAATAAAATTGTCCCTGCATAAGCATATTGTTTGGTAAGAATGGATGTGCTGGGCTCCGTTGTGATTTGTCACAGGCACCAGAGGGAATAGGGCACATTGGTTAGTGGGAGGTCAGCGAGGAGATCTTCTTACCGGAGTTTCAAAGCAATTCTGAGAATTGGAATAATGGAGAAGCACAGTCCTTAAAAATAGTCATTCTGAAGGTTAGTATTTTCCAAGTAAAATTCTTTAAACGTATAAGCTGAAGAATTTTAAAAATAATTATCTCAGGGTGCCTACGTGGCCCAGTCAAGTGTCTGACTCTTAATTTAGGCTTATGTCTTAATTGCAGAGTCGTGGGATTGAGCCCCACGTCAGGCTCTGCGCTGAGCATTGAGCCTGCTTAAGATTCTCTCTCCCTCTGTCCTCTCGCCCCCACTTGTGCTCTCTCTCTCTAAAAAAGGAATTAAAAAAATACAGATAATAATAATTAGCTCAGAGTGAATATTCCGTGAATAGTGGTGTGCTCCAGATGTCTGTGCAGAACGGTGTCTCTCACTTCCGATGTCATGTGCTCATCCTTGACGAAATATGACTCTTACTGTGGCTTCCCCTGTTCTTTCATCTCTCCGTTCCACATGTCTCTGTTATGTGCTGAGCCACTCTCTACCAGTTTGGATACCTCACAATCCAAGAGAACCCCATGTCTTTTTTTGATCCATCATCTCTGCAGATTTCTCCCCAACTGGAAAACTGTGTGTCCTCCTTACCCTCTTCTTTCTCATCTTCAGCACCCAGTCCACAACTTCTGTCTCCTAAAGCTTCTTAATAGGTCTTGAATGTCTTCTGTCCCAGGGATTCTCAGTGGCAGCACCATTGACATTTGGGGCTGGATCATTCTTCATTTGGAGGGGCGGAGAGGGAGGGCCCTCCTGTATACCGCGGAGGGGTGGTAAATTTGTGACATTCCATGGTTTTGGCCTCAGTCATGTGGGCCTAGAAAATTAATTTTACCAGTAAACTGAGAGCACATAGCCCCTGGGGGGTGATCTCACCCTCACCTTGCTGACCTAGACTAGAATGTTCATTCATTCATATGGAATGAGAACTGGCAGCTGCCGGTGTAACTAAAAAGCTACATTGCAAGTTAAATTATAACAGATATTGTCTACATTCTATGAAATCAGAGCTGGAATATTGTTAATTTCTAAACTGCTTTGAGGGGGATTTGAAGGACTCTGGTCTTCCTCAGGTGAGGAACGGCTAGTGAGCTTTTTAAGAGAACTGTTTACATGTGACCTTCGGGAAACCTGTTGTTCCATTTTCACGCTGGCCAGTGCTCCTTAAACACATTCTGTGTACTGTATTTTAAACCCCGGGCACGGGTGTGCATGTGCGTGCACTGACACACTTACAGCCCAGTTGTGGAGGGCAGGCAGTTAGCGAAGTGAATCTAAACTTCATCTGGAAGAATAAACAGGTGAAAGTTCTCAAAAGAAAGACCCACAGTCTTTTCCTTCCTGTGGGGAAAAACCCATTTCTTCCTAAACACTTCTGACCCTTCTGAACACCAACTGAGGGGTTTTTCCTCCCCCCTCTCTCTGTCCCTCCCTCCTTTCTCTCAAAATAAATAAACTTCTAAAAAATTTTTAAAAACCTACAACTACAGTAGTTATCTTTGTAATCTGGTTAAAAAAAGTGCAGATTACATGAAAAATAATTAGTGAGCAATGTGACACTACAGTAAATTAAAAAAAAAATTTTTTTTATGTTTTATTTTTGAGAGACAGAGCGAGTGGGGGAGGGGCAGAGAGAGAGGGAGACACAGAATCTGAAGCAGCTCTAGGCTCTGAGCTGTCAGCACAGAGCCCGATGTGGGGCTCGAACCCACGAACCGTGAGATCATGACCTGAGCTGAAGTCGGATGCTTAACCGACTGAGCCACCCAAGCGCCCCTACAGTAAATGTTTTAGAGTATGGCATATTGAGAGAGTGAGCAGTAGGGCCAGGAACTTGAAGGGATTCTATTAAACTTGATTCCAGCAAGGTTTTGGAGCATGGCTGAGGCTTGGGTTGGAAAGTTGGAGCTCTCTAGGTGGGACGCAGCATGAGTAGAGGTACAGTTTGACCTGAGGGTGTAAGAATCATTGGAGTGTGTTTATTTAGATGTAATAAAACAATATTGTTGGAGGCTCTTAAAATAATGGAGCAGAAACATCATACACTTTAGAGCTGGACAGACTATGATGCTCTGCATGTTTATAAAAGCTTCCAAGGCTTAAGGATGGTCTAGGACACACAGCAGGTGCTCAGTACATGGTAGCTCCTGTCATTTTTACTAGTACTAAGAAAACTAACAGGAAGTTAAGCTTGACAGAATAGTTTGATAGGGAACCATTGTTGTCTTTTGAAAAAGAGTAATAACGTAAACATTCATAATCATTTTTTCTAGTGTTTTATGTAGAGTTAAAAAGAGGAGAGGAAGAAAAACATTTTAAGTCTTAGTAGGTTCCAGAGTGATGAGCCTTTTGGGAGGAGAAACTGTCCTGTTGTTATTCTTATTTCCAGTGATTAGCACATTGTATGAGGCTTAGGGTGGTGGGCCTGGTATTTATACTTAATCCAATGAACTGGTTAAAAACTGGTTAAAAAAAAAAACCCAAAAACTGTTTAGATTAGTCCTGAAGCAAAACTGTTCAGGTAGTATTGCCTGGACGAGGCTGATGGATTGGGCAGAATGCGAGAGATTGAAAGATTGAAGAGTCTGGTTTGAATCAGATGATAGTTCCTTGGACATGTGGAATGAGAGAATAGTAAAAGGAGAATGTCATTTTAAAAAGTTGTGATTGCTGTCATTTACTCTGCCTTCTCTACACTGGGTGCATTGGATGTTACCTGTTAGATGGAGCAGAGCCAGTGGCTTGCCCACAGGCACACAAGTAGTAAGTGTTATAGCTGGGGTTTGAGCTGAGCACTTAACAAAGCCAGCTCCATTGTCACCTCTTCCTCCCAGGAAGCCCTGCCTAGAACTTGCCTTCACACCCACACTCTCTCTTACCCAGGCTAGCTGGAAGACCCTTGTCCAGTTTGTAGCTGCTTTTGGGCGTTTACTTAAGGAATTATAATTACAGTGTACCTTTGGAATTTAGGGACTTTGCATTCTCTGATGCATTTGCTCCTTCGGTAACTTACGAGTTACAGGCGCAAGGCCGTGATGTGGAGAATCACAGGGCAGTCCTGGTATACCAGAGGGACTCGCTCCCCAGGAGTGCAGCTCCAGCACTCAGATGTCAGCTACTGGGCCAAAGTCTCGGGTCTGGACACATGCCCTTGGCAGATATAAACGTTCTTGACTTCTTCTTACGTTTCATCCCCTACCCAGCTTACAATTCCGCTTGGAGTTGTATCTAACACAGCAACTAGTGCATGTTTATATTTAAGTAATTCATTCATAATATCTTTTAACCATAGGTCCTCTGCTGTACCACTTTGAAAATTTGGCAAATGAACTTTCCATAGAATTGAGCTATGAAGATATAAAAAACGTTGTTCTACAATATGGATTCCAGGTGGAGGTAAGGGTGGAATGAAGTGTAGCCACGCTTTCACTTCCAAAGCTTTAATATTAGGACAGTTACTGGCTTTAGCTCTTAGCTTGTTTTCTCATTCATAAAGTGAAAATAATATGTACTCAGGTTTTAGAATTATAAGGATTTGGCATAAGGTATATGTGAAGGGAAATAATCTCTGGTGTAGTCAGTCACCTTTCAGTACATTGTAGCTGACCATGATCGTGACATTGGCTCCTGCAGACTCACAGATACCAAGTACACAAGGGTCTGGAGAAGCAGAGGTGGGAGGGCAGGGGTATTCGGTCACTATATGTACTTTTGTAGTCTTAATTTCTTTTTTATCATGTGTGATTATAAGGTTTTATGAAACTTTGACTTGTTTTAATTGTGTGTTTATTTAAAAGCATTCCAGTCATTTAAAAAATCAACAACAGGTTTGTTCTTAAAAATAAAGAGAAGTTGGGGTGTCTGGGTGGCTCAGTTGGTTAAGTGTCTGGGATCACGGGGCTCCATGCTGTGCATAGAGCCTGCTTAAGATTCTTTACTTCTTCTTCTGCGCCTCCCAAACTTGTTCTCTCTCCCTCTCTGTCTCAAGGAAAAAAAGGAGAGAGAGATTGAGAAAGACAAGAAAGAAGAGAAAGAAAGAAAAAGAAAAGCAACATACCCGAGTAATATGTTGAGCTCAGAGCTCAGGCTCTGGTGTTAGACTGTCTGAGTTTGAATCCCAGTTCTACCACTTAGTAGTGTGACCTTGAGCAATCTGTTTTTTGTAAAGTTAGGATTACTAATAATGCCAATCTTGGGGTATTTGTATGTAATAAATGAATTAATATACAGAATATGTTTAAAATAGTGCCTGTCACAGTGTTTGTGTTAGCATCATGGTCATCATCATCATTATGATTATTGTTTGCATTCCAGGTGGAAAAAGAATCTGTCTTGTCAACATATACTGTGAATGATCTCTCCATGATGAAATACTACTATGAATGTGTCTTGTTTGTGGTCCGTAAACCACAGTAACGTTCTCAAGTGGTATCGGCAGGAAAAAAAGCTTAATAAGAGCAAATGCTGAAATAAACAACTCGAAATCAACTATCCCAATGACAGGACACAACCTCAAATCAGTGGTGCCTTCTTATTCCTAACAAAATTTAGAAATAGCATCTATTTTCTTAATACGTCTATCGCTTTTTCAGAAATATACTATGCTGTGCATATTTGTACTACAAAAGTAAAAAAGGAGGAAATGTCTTCAAGTATACTTTTTCCTTGAAGCCCAGAATTGTCTTTCAGTAGAAAAAACTCTATCTCCAGTGGTCTTCATGAAGCTTTCTATTGCCAAGTCCACCATGTTCATGACTACTAGTATTGAAGTCCCCCCAAATCTTTCTGTTCTGTGTGCACTGCACAGGTTATTTTTAGAAGAGTCTGAGGATCCTCTGCCACATTCAGCACCTGGAATTGGGACTTTTGTTCACTTTGGACCTAAGCAGTCCCTACATAAAATGTGTACCCTTTTATCATTCAGATTATTTTTTTGCTAGCTCAGCTGAATTGAGAGAAGCAACAAACGTTTTGTTTTTATGAAACGTTAAATTTAATAAGATCACAGGCTGGTAAAATGCATTCAGGTAACTGAGAAATGGATCTTTTGGGCACACTAAACTGAACGTTATTTGAAAGCATACTTATCATGAATCACTCTGAAATGTAGAAGATCTCAGCACTCTTAAGCGAGGCACAAAAGCCTTTATTAAAGGTACTGCTAGGAAAATGGGGAAATAAGAATAAAATCTGCCCGTTTGAAATGTACGATTTTAAACTAGAAGTGAATACAGTCTGTCAGTGAGATGTTTACAATAATGTCTTTTCTTTAAATTACCTGGATTACAAAAGCAAGCACTTTTTTTTTGTTAAAAAATTAGATACTAGTAAAACTGTCATGATGGTATTACCGTGGGAAATTTTGAATATAAAATTCAGGGATAAATTACTGCCCGTGGTCTGTGTCTTCAGTATTGTAAGCAGCAGCTGTTAATGTAATTTCAGATTAACACCAATTTTGTTCCCTGATAGCTGGAGTTAAAAGAACTGCTTAAAAGATATGCTGCTTTAAATCTCTACCTCTAGCAGAATCTTTATTGGAGAGAGTTTTCCTTTGTATTTTTTTATGTTTATTGTTTTGTTTCCAGTAGCTTGGAAAGCAGAAATGACTAATGTTTTAACCTTTTCTTGGGGAAAGGAAGTACTCTTGAATACTTTCACAGGTGGTTATGATGGCATTAAATAACCTCCGTGGCAATTTGAATTAGATAGATTTAATCTCAATAATGTGCTGTTGGATTCATGTCATGTTTTAATCGGAAAACCTTGTGAATCTTTATAGACTTTTTTTGTTAGTGGGGCTGGGAGAGTCTACACAGTCTGGTGTCATAACTGGTATGAGCTGATCTGGGTGCAGTAAGGGGGCTCTTGTGGAAAGGGCTCCAGGAAGGCTATGTGACTTGCTAAATTATAGAAGCCTGTAGCCTGTTGTGTTTAAAAAACACAACACAACTATTTCTCTCTTGTGCCCCACCCCCATCCCCCACACTTGGCAGATGTTCAGTTAATTAGCAAGAATGAATTTGAAATTAACTTTTAGGGGACAGCCCCCCGCCAAGATTTGCTTATTTGTTTAAGAAAGAAAAAAGCTAAAAGGGTCCTAAGTATTTAAAAAATGCATTGAAAGGAAAGGAATGCATGCTATTTTTGAGTAATGTAGAAAGGCTTTTTATTCACTGACTAGTGTTCAACCTTTTTACTTGTATCAGAACAAATGATCTTGTTTTTCTCATCGAGGCAAAAATGTGTTGACAGCAATGGGTTGGCTTTGTGACTTAAAAGTTTTGGCTATCAGGTTTTATTCTTTAATAATGTTACTTATATTTCTAAATTATAGCTTCGTTTTAGTTAATTCTGAAATCAGTTATTTCATTTGTTTTTAATCTCTCATATCATGACTACTGTTTTTCAAATGTTCATTTGCATCACTTTTTTTCTTACCACTTTTGTAGTTAACATATTCTAAACTTGAAAATTGTGTCAATCAGTAATAGAAGTGTCACTGGAGGATTTACTTTTATATTCTATGTAGTCCTGGCTACGAAGGTGTGTAAGCCTTAAAGCTTTGTGTACTTTTTCCTTATAATAGCTCTCTACACAAATGTTCCCATTCATTTTCATTCATTTCCATGAAGCAGGAGGAGATAGGTCATTGTGCTTCTTCCTCCCTCTCCTCCCCCCAATATTCTGAAGTGGTGCAGGTTAGGGTATTTTAATCAAGTGAGCAAGATGGGAAATGTAAACTATAAAGAGAAGCTGTATAAATCACAGTATAAAATTATGAAGTTTGGGAACTGTAAAATGTACTGTATTTATATGTAATTCTCATTCTAAAAGTTGCCACAAAGGCTGAATTGGAAGCTTCATGTCTGCATGAAATTTCCTATATTTTTAATGTGTATGATGGACTTAATTTTTCTTGAATATTAAAGTCTGCCAATTGCTACGAAACAGTATTTGCTTGGTTGTTTCGATCTAAGTTAGTAGTAACTGTGGATGTAGGAATTTAAATTAATTGAATGCATGCTTTTGACTCCTTAGATGAGCCTATTCTTACATGCTTCTGGAAAGTCAATTATAAGAGTACTTGGTCTTTGACTATGTCAGGCTTTATACTGATTAATCTAGATCTTTGGTTTTATTAAATAATAGACAAATAATTATAAAGGAAACCAGTACAAGAGAGTTCCAGGACCAGCCATTAGTTGGATAAGTACTGGACATGGCACTTAGGTACTCTGGGTTTGTTTTCCTGACCTTTTGTTTGTGATCTCAGGCAAGGAGCTCTAAATGTGTTTCCTCATCTGTAAGAGAAGATTGATACCAAAGGGTTTTTACGAAGTCATGCACTACTACGTGCAATATTCTATGCGAATATGTGAAAGTGCCTGGTAGTGCAATTTCAGTCTGTGTTGACTGCTGTATAGTGATAGAAAAAGATGAAGATTAGTAACAGGACCTTAGTGTTAGTAATGTTATGGTGGAAAAAAGTTCCACTGGAATCCTAGGGATGGGGGGAGACCAAGAGGACAGGGATGTATGGATATTCTTGAATATTAAAGTCTGGTGAGAATTGTAAAGAAATAAAATGGTAGGTAATGGGAGAGAGGGCACAAGTACAACTTAATGGAGGGTTATTCCCACTTTGAGAAACATGTCAGTACATGCCTCTTGTGTGTTTATTTCTCTTCAATAGATACATAGAAGTAGAGTCATTCAGCCACGGGAATGTGCCTTTCCAGTCAAGTTGTCTTTCAAAAAGATGAACAATTTACACACCATTGACGGTGTTTCGGAATAACTTGGTTTTCATTCTCTGCTCAATACTGGATTTTGCTAAGATTGTCATTTTTGGCAGTGTGATGGGAAACAGGATCTCATTTTCATATTCATGTCTTTAACTATTAGGGAAGTTGAGCAATTGTGTAAGTGTAATGCCCAGAGAGAGGTGACTTTAATCTGCCAGTCTGTCGGTTTTCACCTGGCATGCCAGACAGGCCATTGGCAACAATCCAAAAGTTGGTAAAAATGTCTTGAGCTTCAAGAGGAGGACTGGCCAGTCTTGAGGATGCTTTGAGTTCTGTCCACTGGTAGGTGTGACCATATCTGCTTTTGGTTTTACATAGCTGGCACTGAGGCTGAAAAGCTGCAGCCCACTGGACCCCCCTAGGTGTTACTTAGCCCAGCAGTGGTCTAGGTCCAGGAGTTTAGGGAATGTCTGTGAGTCAAGAGCCCCATTGAACCAGCAGCATTGCTTTAGGTGGCAGAGTGGGGCATAAAGTTTACTCCCAAAGGAATAGCTGCCATTTTATCATAGCACTAAAAAGCTGCTAGGGCCAGGCCAGCCACACTCCTGAATATACTATTTGACTTGTAAATCTTGCTGGATAGTCCTCACCTTATTAGTCATCAGGTCTAAACTGACCCACCTCCGAATGAGAATGTCAAACCAAAGAGTCCCAGGGCCGCCATAAGTCATGCATTCAGTCCCAAAAGCTTAGTAGCAGATTAATAGTTTCCTTCTTTTGTACCAAGGTGTGTCTGGTGCTGGTCAGGTAGTTAATCCTGTTGTAGTACCTGGCTGTGTGGCCTTTGAGAGTTCCGGGCAGCCATTAGATCGTTGAAGCTGTGGTTTCTGTCTTGGAGTTCAATATTACGTCTGCTGTACCACCCAGGGGGGGACTGTCCGTGCAGTAGTCCCTGAATATGACACTTACTGGAAGCAAAAATGCAGGCATGTAATATATCAGATCCATTATACGTGCACTGAAGTGGTCCAAAGGGCCTCAGTGAGAGGTTATTTTTGAGGTGGACTCCAGGTAACACAACAAAACTGATTTTCTTCAGGCCTGAACATAGGTAATTACCTGGCAGGCTCGTGGAAGAAAGCTACCCTCCGCATCCCAGACTTGGTGCACAGCTAATGCACTGCATCTCTAGTGGGCCTTGCAGTCAAGGACTCCGGTTTTTATACACAGTTGCAGCCCTAGCCCGCTGCTTCTGTTCAGATGCCGAGACCCGCTTAGAGGAGGGAAGGGGGTTAACTTGACACATTTCTTCACTCTCAGTACTTTTTCCATCCTTAGGCCCCCCCCCCCCCCCCGGTCTACAGGCCTGCAGGAGCCTTTTTAGAGGAACCTACACTTCATCAGGCTTAGTCTATTGTTTATACTACTGAAGTGATCAGAGGCTTGACCATAACTTTCATTTCTGCTTCTTCTATTTGAACACTTGGCGACTCAGCTCTCCCAGGCTCCGATGAACCCCTAACAATTTCAGCTTCCTTCCCCACTACAAGCCCTGCCCAAACCATCAGGTGAATTCAAGTGTCTTTTTTCCCCAAGAGGATCACAGACGGAGAGACGTTTAACCCGTGTATCAGGGGCTACAGCACAGACACCAAGAGACCAAATCACCTCCAGCAGGGAGGTAGAGGAGGCTTGTCCCTGGGGACGGCGGGAGCAATGGTGGGGGGGGGGAGGGGGAAACTGGATTTCCTCCATTAACCTCTGGCTCGAGATAATGCTTGAGCACCGCCGCTACTTCCTCCCCCAGGTGCTCCCTGCACCCAGTGGGTGCCTGGCCTCCGGGGCCCTTTACTTCCTGCTCACACAGGCCATTGCGCTGCAGTCTTCCAGCTTTGCGCCCCCCCCCGCCGACCCCCCGGCACCCAGAGCCCCATCTTGATTCTCTGCAGGACTGGCTGAGACTCTGCACTAACAGGCAAGGCTTCGCCCTCACCTTCGAGGGGCCACCCACATCCATTCAACAAAATGGACTTCTGTTTTCAGGTCACCCAAAGCTCTCCACTGGGTGGACTGGGTGGCAAAACCCTCATCGCGGAAAGGACGACTCCTTTCCGCAGCATTCCTAGCACCACTGCCTTCTGCTGGGGCCACCGGGCTTCTGCTGTGATAACATCCCTATCTCATCCTGCCCAGAAGAGAGAGCAGATCTGGGCGCCATGCTTATCTCAGTCCCACCTCTAGCTGCTCATCATCGGTACTAGGACGTAGGGAGCTCATTACTTTGTTTCCACATTTACCATTTAGGCAAGAGCATTTGCTGCTGTTTCCTTTGAAGTCTCATGTTCCTGAACTGGCCTGTGGGACCTTGGCCTTCCTGATCTGGAATGCCATGTCTGTCTGCAGCCCAGACTTATCCACAGAACTTCTGAGTCTGGGATTTGGTTTTACCTTGTTTACAAATGAGTAAGTTAACCCGTTCGTTTCATGGCCATGGACAGAAGACATAAGAAGTTACAGAGAAGTAGAGTTCCTGGATACCCTTTCCCCAGCTTCCCTTCCACAGGAACATTCCACGTCATTGTAGGACAGTGGTTAAAACTGTGAAATGGACATCGGCATGATTTTCTTCTAAAACGGTAGACCTTGTCTGAAGTTTGCTGGTTTTTGCACACACTTTTCAATATGCCTTCTACTTTTAAACTTTATGATTTGTATCTAAAGTAGATTCCTTACTGAGGTAGATTAAAGGTCTTGCCTTTTTATTCAATCTGATTTTTGGGGGGAGGTATCTTTTAATTGGTGTTTAAACCAATTTCATCTTAAAGTAATTATTGATATGGGTGAATTTAAACCTACCATTTTGCTAGTTTTCTACTTGTTCCATTTCTTCCTCCCCCCCCCCCCCCCCACCTATTCCTGGACTATTTTCTTGATTTCATTTCCACTATTGGCTTATTAGTTATAGGTTTTTACCAAAAAAACCAAAGAAAAGTTTCACTGGTTTCTCTTAGGGTTTCTGATATATATTGTTAGCTGGTCACAGTCTACCTTCAAAGTATTACACCACTAGATGTACAGTGGTAAGAATTACAACTCTTCCAATATGCTTACAATTCTCTTCCACTATTCATGCTATTGTCATGCAATTTTAATGTGTATAATAAACCCCAGGATACATTGTTACTAATTTTGCTTTAAT